TGGAGCACACCTCCCTCTAGTGACCCTTCCAGACTACTACCACTTTCTATGGAACTTGAAGAAATCATTTTAATATCTGTTGTTTAGTTCGCACACTGAAGGTGATAGATTCCTAGCAACACAGGCATTCTCCAGGGCTCTGAAACCAGACCGCCTGCGTTCAGATCCGAGTTTTACCACTTGTGGACTGCGTGACCTGAGCTAACCACTTCACATTTTTCATGCCTGTAAACTGGCGTTAATAGTTTTCACTTCGTGGGCTTGTGAAGATTAAATGAGACAGGAACACAGCATTTACATCCGTGCCTCACACAGAGTAAGCTTTCAATAAATGTGAAATATTAGATTATTATAGAGGTCATAACATGACACTTTACATTCACGATCCTATACTCACAGTACCTCTTTGAAGTTTTACAAGTCTGTGGGGTAGGTGCTTACCATGGCTAACTTCCATTCTCAAATAGATGTTCAAAAACCCAGACTCAGAAGTAATGGAAATGGGGTTTGGAGGTGGGCTGGGATAGAAGGCTAGAGAGGGGTGTCCACGGGGGAAGGGATAGAGAGGATGGGAGGGCAGAGGAGGGGGTGGAGAGTAGGCGAGGCTCATATTCAGGTCTTCGGACTCCAAATCTCCAGCTTTCTCACAGCGCATCCCTCCGCCCAGGCCCTCCTGATCCAGCTATGACCCATCACGATCTCCCGTCTCCTCACTCCTTGGCACCACCGCCCTCCCAGGATTCCTACTTCTGCACCACCCTCTCCATTCTCAGCGCGGGAAGGAACGAGCCCACGCTCCCTCTACCTTATTCCCCGACCGCGCCATGTTGCCGCTCAGCAGGCGCCTCGGTCGCCTCTTCCGGGCGGGAACCCGCAGCGGCCGCAACTCCGTTCCGGCGGACTCCGGGCCAGGTGGACTTCGGGAGAGCCGATTTGAGACTGGAAGGGGCGGGGAAACTGTGCGCCGACGCTCTGAGCATGCGCGGCTTCCCGGCGTGCAGCCCTGGCGCGGAGGCGCTTGGCCAAGTCTTGGCGTTGCCGACGTCTCTACAAATCGCTTACCCGAAAGATGAGCTTCGCTTGTCTCTCGCTGAGGTTAACACACACAGCGTTTTGTGCTAGAGCTGTCGCGTTAGATTTCCTCGAGTATGAGTATCAATTCAGAAAGTGACTTCTCTAAAAGTGTTTTTTTCTTAAAAAAAGGGGGTGGGGGGATGAAAGACTTTACAGATGTGATGACTTTGGAACCACATCCTGAAGGAAGAGTAGTTTTGCAGGCAATCAGAAATGGGAAGGGTATTCTTTGCAGAGGAAATGGGATGTGCAAAGGCCTGGAGGCATGCAGCAGCATCTGCCAAGGACCTCTCAATAGCTGGGAGTGTCCCAAGCTTGGAGGGGAGGAGAAAGGGAGATGTGCGTTCTCCAAGTAGCGGCTTCCATCACAGCGCCCTTTAAAGGGAACTCTTCCAGCCTTCAGCCGCTGCCCTCTTTGAGAGAGACTTGCCCAGGCAGAAACTTGCACAGAAGAGCTATTTTCTAGACCAAATGACCCACATGCTGACGGATGAATGGACAAAGCATTCAACACCGTATCTGCAAACCTCTGCCCAGACTGGAAAATAAATCCAACCATATTCTCTCTCTCTTGAAAACTGGACCTGGAAAAGCAGACACTAAAGCTGGAAGAATGTGGAGAGGCCATGAAGAGGAAGTGGCCCTGAGGGAACGGAAGTTATATAAATGCACTGAAGCAAGGAGAGTCAGACATTTCAGACTAGGCTTAAGGAGCCCGCCCGGGAAGCTTTTCAAGCTTATGAGTTCTTTGAAAACTCATATTATTTTTAAGACTTTTTATATGACACATAAGTAGAATTACTGGAGACTCACTGTGGTAAAGGAAATTTGCATATTTTATGTCCATAACTTTATCTTCTATGTAGCCTCTCTTTTCTTTTTTCCTCCTCTTTCCTTCCTTTCTCTTTTATCTCTTCTTTCCCCTCTCTCACACTCTCACACCCACACACCTGCCAGTACAGGTTTGTTTCCTGGGAGAAATAAAAGAGATTCAAGTACCTGTGTTTGTTTGTATCTTAGCCATCTTCAGAGAAGTCTTCAGAATCACCCACTTCCAGGCAGCTAGGCAGTTGTGGTGCTGAGAATGGATATGGACTTTAAGCACTGCTTTCACTGGCAAAAGGCCTCCATTAATCAAGGGTGAAGAGTCAATATTAATGTGACAGACAATAAATGAGATTGTTCCCTTCTTCCTCCTTAACAAAAGGATTCTGGCTTTGTTTGTTCCCTTTGTCCTGTCATTCAGGATCTGTTTGGATTTGTATGATATGGAATTGGGTGGAAAGAGGGAGGACAAGAGGTTGATGGGCTATGGCTGGTAGAGGAAAAAGGGCACTTTTGGACAAAGATGCGTGGGAGCATCGTGTATGAGGAAAATGGATGCAATGAGAAAAGGAGAATGACATCATTATTTGGGTGCCCCCCCATAAGCCATGCCTCTCAATTTGGATTTCCTTCTACTAATCTAGGCTTTTATGTACCTCATTAGAACCCTTTTGAAATAATTTTTGTTTACAAGCCTATTTCTTCCACTAGGTGGCATCCCAACTAAGGTGAGGGCCACCTCAACCTCATCTAGTTGTCCCTTGGGCCTCCTCCTCACCCCAACTCCTCCATTAAACTATGGACTAGTGACCCTTGTTCTAATTATAACTATTTTTGGCCTTGGCTGTTGATTTTCCTTATGCCAGAGAAATGTGACAAAAGTGTTTGTAATTTCCTAATGTAGGCTTAAGTAAATATGTAACTATGGAAACAGTCCACCTAAACAAAATCTCCATAATATATGGAAAGAGTCAAGACATAGAGATTTAGATTAAGATTATTATACATAGCCCTGGCTGATTCGGCTGGGCAGTTAGAGCATCAGCCCAGGGAACAAAGAGTCTCCGATTTGATTCAGTCAAGGGCACCTACTTTGGTTGTAGTTCATCCCCACCCAGGTCAGGGTTGTGCTGGAGGCAATGTGTTTCTCTCACATTGATGTTTCCCTTTCTCTCTGTCCCACTCTATCTAAAAAATCAATAGAAAAATATCCTCGGGTGAAGATTAAAAAAAAAAGATCATATTATATATATATAGGATAGCCACCATAATGACCCTTTTTCTGCAAACTGTAGCATTCATTAAGTTTAGGAGAAACTCAAAGATAAAGTGAGAATATGTTAATTATATTTCATTTTTATTTTGTTTGCATTTCAATTGTTTACACCTCTGCAAAAATGGAACTAGGTAAACAACCCGCTGGTTTGGCTGTCTGTCAGTGCGGATGAAACAGGTATGGTGAATAAGGAAAGAGATTTCATTCAGGTGCTGGCAAGCTGAGAAGATGACCAACTCCTGTCCTTAAAAACAATCTTAACTTCTCAGTGCAGGAAGAGGTTTTTATAAGGACAGAAAGGAAAACAGAACAAAGAGATTACAGGGGGAGGGAGTTGAAAAATTTGTACATGCAGACCAGTACAGTCCATTCCAGTGAGAACCTTGAAACTGGTCAAGCAATGATCTAGTGTGCATCATCCTGATTTTACGTTTGAAGGTCAGCAAATATTCTGGAACTGAAATCCCTGAAAGTCAGAGTCATTTCTCAGCGTGTGTCAGCATGACATCTGCAGTCTTATTGCAGTATCAGCATTCCTTACTCCTGAAACAGGCTGTTCAGTTGTAACAAGCACATGGCCAGAGGTGAAAGCACATATACTTTAATTTGTTATAGAATACACAACTTTGATCACTAGATCAGTGATATTTAATCAGGGTTACAAAAGCACCAAAGAGCACCAAGTTTATCTTCAAAAACGCTGAACAGAATTTTGTTTTTGTCAAACTAATAATAATTATTTAAAAGGTGGGGGTGTCACCTTGGCCTGGTGACTCAGTTGGTTGGAGGTTCAAAAGGTTGCAGATTTAATTCTCTGTCAGAGCACATACCTAAGATGTGGGTTCAATTCCTTATCAGGGCGTGTAAAGGAGGAGGCAGTAGTTCAATGTTTCTCTCTCACATCGATGTTTCTCTCTATATCTTCCTCTCTTTCTAAAATCAATAAAAACATATTCTCAGATAAGGATTAAAAATAAAAAAAATAATAAAAGGAGGTGTCCTCTGAAGGCAGATTTCAGCACCATACATTAGGCAAGTGTCTCTGGCCTTCTGTGGGAGAGCATGCCCAACTAGTCTGTTTGCTTCACAGAAGTTCTTTTAACTTCTTCCTGAGATGTGATTAAGAAATGAGTACCATATATCCTTATAAGCCCCCAACCATCCAAAAAGGCTAGATTCTATTAAAAAAAAAAAAAATTAGCAATACACCTTCAGGAATGATTTTTTTTTTTAAGTTTAGAATCAATTAATCTAGATTGATCTGGTTTACACCCCTGCACCCCCACCACCCGATGGCCAGGAAGACAGTCTTCTTACACAGCAAAAATTGTGTTTTGTTGTTAAACTCCAGAAGGCTCTGAGTGAGGTTTTGTCAAACAACAGTAAGCTAACTCTGTCTTCTTCCTGCTTAGGGCTACTGATCCCTGTTGAAGGCAGGGAAAGGGGGAGCAGACTCAATCCCTCCTTTCACAGGGAAGGGGGGAGCAGATTCAATCCCTCCTTTCACAGTCTTTAATCTATAGAGTAAACTAAATATCACCACCCAGTCCCACCTTCGATACCAGGAAAAAAGGTATGCTACTATTATATAGTTGTACTCAACTGTTTACTCTTCCCTTCTAAAAAAACCCTGAAACCACATGACATTACAGACATTTAACTGCAAAGTACATGAGTTGCTAATATCTATGTATAGCATATACTTAGTATATATAGCTAATATCTATATATAAAATCTTCATGTAAGATTTAGGCCTAAATAAATACATAAATAAAACTGTATTAGCAGTTTGGGATCTGAATATATTTAAATAATTACTGAGATTCTTACTTGTCTATCAAAATAGCCATTCTTCTTTTTCCTCTTAAATTTGCATAACACCAATATTTGCATAACTGCCCCCAAGGACTACATTTTGCAGCCTCTTTTGCTTGTAAGGTCATGTGACGCCAGTCTGGCCAATAAGAAGTGTTGAGTGGGACTTTTGGGAAGCCTCCTTAAGCACAGAGAATATGTTCTTCTTTGCTCCTTCCTCTATTCTCCCAGGAACATGGATGAGATGGCTGCAGATGTAGTCAGCACTGGGGTGTTAAAGATAAAGGTGATGAGGATCACATCACACTAATGGCAGGAGAGTAAAGAAGCCTGGATTCCAGTCACTCCATCAGGTCACCTGATGGTCTGCCTCCAGACTTCTTCTTTAGAAGAAAGAAAGAAACTTCGATTTTGCTTAAAACACTCATACTTGGGGATATCAATTATATGTAGCTAAATAAAACTAAGTGATGCACACAAATCTTTATATTCTGCTACATTGTAGTAAACCTGCTTCCTAACTATTTCACTCCATCCCTGTCTATTACTTTATTCTCCCTTTCATATTTAGTCACATACTCCCCTGGGTTCCAAGTACCAGTAACACCTTCAAGCTCCTGACCTGACACACAGTGGAGCTCCTTGTCCCAGACAAATGGTCACTTTAGGGCAGGGAATGAAGAAGAGTTGGTCTGTTGTATGGATAACTTTCCCATAAACTGCTCTTCTGTTCCCTGCCTTCTTAGAACCATCAAGATGGGTGGATCAGTTTGGGCTAGAATTTTCCAGAAGAACTGTGAGGGGGAGGGGAATTAGAAGATAATATGTAGGCTACTGGGACCAGAGGAGGAAATAAGGTGTTGGGAGTTTAGACAGTGGAAGTTTCCACTTCCTGGGTTTGGTCCTTGTTGGAGAGATTGCCTGAAATATTGTCAGATTCAAGCAACTCCACGATGCTGTAGGGGGAACAGTCCTCCAGACCCAGCTTGCTGCAGAGCCAGCCGCAGAAGCCTTTCTCCATATCCCGGGCGGCTTGCCACCATGCTCCCCAGGACCATGAGAGCTGAACCACAGCAGAATAGAGGCCCAGAGAAGAGGCCATGGCCATGATGAGCACTGGATAGAAGAGAATGAGGCAGGGGCAACATGAGATCTTGTGCCAGAAGGTCCTTTCCTCATTGTACACAAGAAAGATGTTGTACCAAGTGATAGTGCCATAGTAGAAAGAGACAATGAAAGAGAGGATGAAAACCACAGGCAGGCAGACCAGCGTCCAGAGGACCACGTGGGGCCCCTGGTCTGCTGACATCTGGCAGACCTTTTTGCCTTCAGGTGTTGTTTCTTTTATTGACTCTTTAGGTTTAGTCAATTCCTGCAGCTCCTTCTCCGTCAATGTGACATGGATGTCCACCATCTGACCCTTTTTCTTCCCTCGTGTGATGGTCCCAGTTAATGTGACATAGCGGCTGTCCAAAGGCATGTTCCACATACCTGCAGGGCATAAAAGAGGTGAAGTCAGGATCAGAAGCGTGGACACTGCATCACAGTGTTGTCCCCTGAGGCTGGGGCTGATGACAACAGTGTCCACTTTTATAGCATCTGGCATGGTACTGGAGTCAATGGTTCGATGATGGACTGAATGGGACTCCTTCAGGAGGGTGGCCACTAGTACTATTATAATTCCCACCGTGAACTCTGTCCACACAGATAAAATTGTGAAGCAGGTTAAACTTGTTTTATGTGTTTTCTCTCCACTTTTCTGGGCCTCGATCTTGACACAATCTCTGTGGTGTGGGAGTGTGAAGAACTTTACTACAGACTCTACGTTATAGCAATCTTCTTTCTAGTTTAGAAGTACTTTGAAAATAGTGCTTATGCGTATCAGCTACTGTGTATAAGATTGTGCCGTGTGTGTTATGCTGGTGGACAACCCAGGCCCCTTCCCTTTTCTATGCTTCCCTGAGAGGGGCCTCCTCACAAGCCTGTGGACATCCCAGCCCTTGAATTCAAGCCCTGTACACACATATGCACGCGCACACACACACACACACCACATATATACATGTTATACATACACCACACACACACACACACACACACACCCCACCACCACCACCAACAACAACAACCAAACAACCATCCTTTAGCTACCCTGGAAGTGAGGTTGAAGACACTGAAACGGAAGTCTGAGGTCCTTGGTGTGTGAAATGCAGTGTACAAAGTGAGGGAGGTGGGGAGAAAACGGGCTTTAGGTTGGCACGTGCCCTCAGTTCCGCTGGACTCCTTGCCCCAAGGCTGGAAGAGGGATAGAACAGAGCCATGTAGACAGCAGCACCCAGGACAGTGTCAGGGACTCTGACTGCCCAGACAGAAGGGTTGTACTGTTTCCCCAGAACCTAATGGTTTCACAGTCTCCCTCATCTCAATAAATGGCACCACCATCAACCCTTTCTGTTGTTCCTGTCAAAACTCCAGGAGTCACTGTCAAGTCCTCTTTTCTCACTCCCTACCTCCAATCCATCAGCGAGTTCCCGACTGCACTCTGAATCCAGTCTGTCTTCTCTAGCTGTCTCTCCTCTGTCACCTTCCTCCTAGTGCTGTTGTGGCAGCAGGAGGCAACAGTCTCTCATCAGCTTCAATTCTTACCCTTGGTAATCCATTCATTATAGAGAAGCCAGAGTGATCTTTTAAAAAATATAAATGACATGATACCACTCCTTTGCTTAAAAATCCTCTATTGACTTCCCCTTGCACTTACAACAAATCCCAAACTCTTTACTATGACCTACAAGGCCCGATAGGATCCGATCCTGCCTGCCTTTCTGACCTCTCAACCATTCCTTGTTCTCCACACTCACTAACAGAAATAACTCTATTCCAGAAACAGGCAATGATGTTCCCAACTCGGGGTATTTGCCTTTGCTGCTTATTCCTCCTCTACCCAAGATCTTTTTAAAAAACTTTTTAAAAAATATATGCTTTTATTGATTTTTGAGAGAGGACGAGGAAAGCAGAGGGAGAGAGAGAAACGTTGATCAGCTGCTTCCTGCACACTCCCTACCGGGGATCGAGCCTGCAACCCAGGCCTGTGCCCTGACTGGGAATTGAAGATGCTGCTCAACCAACTGAGCCATGCCAGCAGGGCTGCGCAAGATCTTTTCATGGCTGGCTCCTTCATGTCATTCGGGTCAGCTCAAGTATCACATCTTCAGGGAGGCCCTGCACAACCACGCAGTCTCTCCCCCAGTTACTCATCTTCCCATCACCATGATTTATTGTCTTGGGAACTCAAACCACTACCTAAAATTATCTATTTAAAAAAAATTTTTTTTTCTTTATTGATTTTTTAGAGAGAGAGGGAGGGGGAGGGAGAGAGAGATAGAAATATCAATGAGAGAGAACATCGATTGGCCGCCTCCTGCATGCCCCCCACCGAGGAGACTTGGCCCACAATCTGGGCATGTGCCCTGACTGGGAATAGAACCGGCAACCTCTTGGTGCATGGGTCAGCACTCAACCACTGAGCCACACCGGCAGGGCTGAAATGATCTTTTATTTGCTGACTTGCTCACTGACTGTCTCCCCCCTACTAGAAGGTCAACTGCTTGAGAGCAGGGATGTTGCTTGTTCACTGTGGGCATATGTCTTAGGGATCACTCCATCTACACAAATAGGTCTACCTCATCCATTTGTTGTTGCACAGTGATGCTCAATATAGACACCCCATAACTTCATTATCTCAACAAACATTCTTTTTTTGCATGGGGGACATACTGAGCATTTCCAGGACATAGGATATGCACATTTTGAATTTTGAATTTAATAAAAATTGACAATTTTCCCTACAAAGTGGTTAAACCAGATTCCACGTCTACCTGAGGTGTGTGAGCATATGTGTACTTCCTCACACTGATGTTATACTTTACCCAATATTTGGCCATCCTGAATACGAGGGGATACTATAACTCATTTTGTTATAATTTGCATTTTCCTGATTTTTATGAAAGTCAACTATTAGTATTTCTTTATCTTATGTATTAAGTGATTAGCACAGTATGCTTGTATTACTAATTTTCTATAGATAACTCGGTCTCTTTCATTACACTAGGAGTTCCAAAAGGGTGGAAATCTCCTCCATTTCACCTAGAAGAGAACATAATAAACACTGTCCATTCATTGAATGAAGACTGCAACATTGTGACAAGAAAAAAATCAAAAAGAAGAAAAAGGTCAGTGATCAAATGCCTGTCTGTCTTTTGGAGGATACTCATTTATTTTCCTTCCCATGGTTTGAAGCAGGTGGCCCCAGACAGACTTACCATCATCGGCAGGGTAATCGAGGAAGTCGTCTCCTTCCTCCTCTTTAGGTTGGTCGCCACCTTCTGACTCCCCAGGCTCCTCATCCTCTTTCTCATTCTCTGACCTGTAGATGATGATAGATTCTGGGCGGGACTCCTTCTTCTTCTTTTTCCTGTGACCAATTGTGGATTCCCCATCCAGGGCCAGGGCAGCAGCCACGACCTTCCTCAGAGAGCCCTGCTGGGGGCTTGGGAGCTGGCCCTGGCTTTCCACCGGTGCTGGCTCTTCCATTCTGATTCTCACGTCTGGTTATTCCTTGTGAAAAGTCCGATTTGCTTGGGCAAACTTACAATCCACACATCTCAGAGTTTTTTCTTGGATGGGGCTATACAAAGAAGTACCAACAATGAGTTCAACTTGCAAGATAGGAAAGCAAAGCCATCAACAGGGAGGGAATGGGGTGAGCTGGAAAGGGGTTTAGGAAATGATCCACAACTTGGCAGAAGTCTTTGCCTCCCTTTACTTCTCATAACACATTATTTCTTCATTTTTAGAGCTGCAGAAATACTTTAAGAATGGATTGTAGTGAATAAATTTTTTTTTTTTTTTTATCCTCACCCGAGGATATTTTTCTATTTTTTGTACAGATGGAGTGGGAGGGAGAGAGAGGAAGAGAGAGAGAGAGAAACATCGACGTGAAGGGACACATCGAGTGGCTGCCACCCGCACGACCAACCAGGGCCGGGGACAAACTGCAACCGAAGTACGTGCCCTTAGCGGGAACCGAACCTGGGTCTCTCCGGACCGCAGGCCGACGCTCTAACCGCTGAGCCAAACTGGCCAGGGCTGTAGTGAATAAAATTTTATGTGTTGCAATAATATGTTGGTCATTTACACAAACAAATTATATGTAAATGCTATCAATCTAGCCAAGTACAAGGAATTTGGGTGAGAAAGCCTACAGACAAATGTGGGTTAAGAACCATTTTTACTCGCCTGGCTGGTGTGGCTCAGTGGTTGACCATTGACTCATGCACCAAGAGGTCGCCAACTCAATTCCTAGTCAGGGCACATGCCCAGGTTGTGGGCCTGATCCCCAGTGTGGGGCATGCAGGAGATAGCCGATCTATGTTCTCTCTCATCAATGTTTCCATCTCTCTTTACCTCTCACTTTCTCTCTCTCTCAAATCAATAAAGAAAAAAAAAAAAGAACCACTCTTACTCCCAGCAGAGAGGAGATTTATGTGACTGCGACCAGCACTCCAGGCTTCTGGCTGTTGATTCATACATTGCAACTATGCTCAAATGGATGAATGCTGCTTCCTGTGAGGCACCCAAAGATGGCACAACTTCACCAACCACATATAGTCCTGTCTTCTTGTTGGCACGAGATCTCAGAAAGTTCCTGGGATCTGCCCTGTCACATGCTGGAAAACCAGTTTCACTCTTTTGTGTGTGTGTGTGTGGGGGGGGGGGTACATGCCCCAAGCAGGAACTAAACCCAGGACTCTCTGGTCTGCAGGCCAACACTCAACCACTGAGCCAGACTGGCTAGGGCCAATTTCACTCTTAACATTCTTTCTCCTCTGTTTGTTTACCAGGTAAAGAGAGGTGTGTGTGTGTGTGTGTGGGTGAATTATAAAATTTTAGAAATCAGGAACTGTCTTACACTTTCTCATCTCCAGTGAGAAGACCCTAGGGCTCAACATGTAGTGGATACTTAGTATGTACCGGTTGACCTGAGAGGACAGAGGAGAAGGAAAAATGCCTATTTAAAAATAAGATGAACAACTGTTAAGAGAGAAAGGCTTAATTTTCTTCCCCATTAAAAAATTTTTTTTTTTCTTATTGATTTTAGAGACAGAGGGAGAGGGAGAGATAGAAACATTGATGAGAGAGAACATTGATTGGCCACCTCCTGCATGTTCCCCACTGAAGATTTGGCCCACAACCTGGGCATGTGCCCTGACCAGGAATTGAACCAGTGACCTCTTGGTGAATGGGTTGACACTCAACCACTGAGCCACACCAGCCAGACATCTTCCCCATTTTTGTATACCTTATTAAGCAGTTAGTGTTTTATCTGGGAAACAGATTCTGAACGTTTCTCCTTCCTTTTAGATTCCATAAGACAGAGAGTAAAAAGTTCCCCGTTTCTAAGACTTTAATCTGTTGAATTAAGAGAAGAGAAAGGACTTTGCTCTTTTTTACTGGAAGTTAGGCTTCAGCCATCCTCTACCTCCATTCCCAGTCCAAAGATGATCAGTGAATGTGAAGCTTCACAGTGTAACCTCAGTAAATCATTAGCTCAGGATTCTCAGTCATCCGAGGGTGGGGGAAATAGGTTTTAAAGAGCACGTTCAGACTCTAAAACTCACGCTTACAATAACTGGTTTTAAGCCATTCTTGAAGGCAACTGTCCATAACTTTTATTCACCACTATTCCCATCCTCACTGTTTGGTCTAATGGCCATGATCTCTTATCTATGGTTCTAAAAAGTGCTCCTTATCACCTGGCTTCTATTCCTGCTGTTTTCCAATCAATTCTTCACCTAGTAGTTAGAAAGATCTTTTGAAAACATTAATAAAATCATGCCATTTTCTGCTTAAATTCCTTCAGTGGTTGTAAGAAGACTGTTATAAGAAGACATCCACATGGCCTAGGGACCGGCATGATCCAGTCTCTTCCCATCCCACCACCCTGTGCTACACTTTTCTCTTGTATACCTCCAATGCTCAGTCACACTGGCTGTGTGTTCCTCAAGAGCACCAAATGCTTTCCCTGATGAAGTCTTCTTAAATGCTGTCTGGCTTGGCTAGTATGCTGCTCCACCCCTCCCCTTCACATGGCCACAGCCTTGTATCCCCCAAGTCTCAGTTCAAGTCACCTTCCCCAAATGTAAAACAGGCTCCCTGCTCTGCCTTTCATTATTCCTCTTCATAACAGGCTATTTTTTATATAAGTCTTATCAGCATTTAAAATTAAGTTTTGTTTGTTATTTTACTTGTTTATGTTCTATCTCCTCTACTGGACTATAAACTCTACAAAGTGGTACCATACAAGTAGGCCAATAAGTAGTTTTTCAATAAAATGTTAGGCGACTGTATTAATGATTTGGGAGGGAGGTGATGGGTAGCAATTAAGGATTAGCCTGATTTTGTCAAAGACTGAGACTGAAGAAAAATTGAATAAAGAGCATTAATAAGCTCCTTTATGCTTAATAAGCTCAATTATGGCTCAGTTGTTAAGTGCTACACCTATATCTATTTTCTTCAATAATGAAGGTTTTAGCTGGTTACATGACTTCTGTGGTAAAGATAACATTTCCCAGCATCCCTTGCATATAAGTGTGATCATGACTAGTCTTTGGCCAATGGGATGTGAGTAAATGTGATGTATGTGACTTTCATATCTGCATCTCTCCTTCCTCTTTTCACCTTCTTGAAGGCTGGAATGTGAACTTGATGAGCCATCTTCAGCCATGCAGATAAGGGAAAACCCCTAGGGATGGCAAAAGAATGAGAAGGAAGGAAGAAGGGTCACCCTAACAGTCATAAACCTTCTTCCTCTGGACTGTAATATGAGAAATATAAAACAAATATATATATGGTTGAGTGTTGGCCTGCAGGATTATTTTGGTCTCTTAAGGCAGCCACACAGAAATCTTACCCAATACACAGAGATTGCTCAAGGTTATTTGATGTTCTAACCCTTTAGCTGTGTTCCAATTCATCAGTCTTGAGGCATAAGCAAATTTTGATATGCATTTCAGAGTTAGAATATAAAATGGCATCATCCCTGATAATAGGTGGTTCAGTTTTTATTCTCCTGGGTGGGTCAGGAATTCTGAAACTCAGCTGTCCAGTACAAAGGATACCACACTGATGCTGACTCAAGCCCCACCAGGAACCCACTGGAGATCTCAATACAATATATGATACTATCATGAACTGAATATGTTTCCCTCCAAAATACATATGTTGAAATCTTAACCCCCAAAGTGATGGCATTAGGAAGTGGTCTTTGGGAAGTGATGAGGTTATGAGGGTAAAGCACTCATGAATGAGATCAGTGCCCTTATAAGAGACTCCTGAGAACTTGATTGCTCTTTCTGCCATGTGAGGTCACAGCAAGAAGCCGCCTATGAACCAGGAAAATGTCTATTAACCAGGCTCTCACCAGACACTGGAAATGCCAGCACCTTGATCTTGGACTTCCCAGCCTTCACACTATGAAAAGAAAATTTTTGTTGTTGTTTAAGCTACCCAGGACATGGTATTTTTGTTACAGCAGCCTAAACAGACTGAGACAGAGACTGTTCTCTGCTTTTAATGAGCTGGCCAACAGTGCGTTCACAGAGAAATGAAGGCCCATTCGGTATGCGTTGTCTGAAATTTCATGTGAAAATTCTAGATTTTAATTGTTGCAATTAGTCCAGATTTAAATAAATTACCAAGTGGACAACCAACCAAGACAAAACACAAATGGACTGCCATTTTGCCACCTCTGGCTTATAAAGCTTCCTAATCAGAGTGGCCTGTTCCAACGGCTTAAGAACAATCAGGCATTGACTTTTTGCACTTTGACCCATATGGACACATCTCCCTCTTTCAAGGAACCTCAACTGGCTGGGAGAGCAGAGGATCATCATTTTAAAGTTAATTTACCATGACAGTGAGCTATGTCTTTCTCCAGCCTGCTATTCTTTCAATTCTTCTTTGATTTGTGTATGTGTCACCCAAAGGGCCATATATTGCCTGTCTAGGGTGGTCAGACTCTCCCAGGAGCATCTTGATTTACCACCAATAGATGGACTAGGCCAACCAGGAAATAAAATGCTTATCATTTTACCACTGAAAATTACCATTAGCCCTCACTCAGGGAGAAAGTTTCACCAATGTAAAAACGAAAGAGAATTTGGCTCAGATGGGTGTCAAGTGACTGGAACAACAATGGAACAGCATCCAGCCAGTTGCTGTGAATTGGTCATGAGGACAGTCAGACAGCAGCCTCTTCCTTTGTGGTCCTGTGATAGCATTTCTCTTGTCACTGCCAACCTACCTGGTTCTGAAAGGCTCTCACACTGAGACAGGTTCATCATCTAGGGAGGATCTGACCATCTACAGAGGAAGTTCCTGGCCGCAAAGGTAGTTGGTTACAAGGAGCTTGAGCATCTCATTGTAAGATCTGATCTTCACTACCTGACCTTTTGTTTGCTATTGTCTTACCTCATATGCACACATACCCTTTCCACCTCCCACTCCTGCTCCCACCATATATACATGCCAGCATATGAACTTTACAAAGGCAGGGACACCTAAATGTCTTGTCCTCTGTACTGTATCCCCCATCCCTAGAACAGAACTGGCAAAAGGCAGGTGCTCAATAAATATTGGCGGAATATTGTGAATTGGTTAAGAGTCTTATTTATACAAGTTGGGCTCTTACTTCAAGGCGGGGTGGGGCTAGTAGCCTCATTGGTATTCCTTCCGCACTGAGATTCTGAGTCTGAATGTTGAGAATCCCACAGGCCTCTGTCAGTCTGAGCCAGCAGCTGCTTTGCAGAGGGAGAAAATGAAGTTACCAAGCAGATGGGGAGGGGGAGGGGTGGGAAGATGGGTGAGAAAGAGAATCTCGGAAGATGAAGGGAGTCAGCGCTAATGGGGTATGACAGGATGGGAGTGTGGAAGGATCATGGCCGTGACAATGCCTTGTTCGCCAGGACAAAGGGGGCAGTGATGCAGAGCCCAGGGAAGGGCAGCATTTGATTCACCGAAGGTTAGTGTGGCCTGGCGTGGTTGCCCTGCAAAGAGATGGCTCAACCAGGAGACAGAGTTGAAATCTGGAAACAAAGAGCCTCTAAGAGGCAGAACTCCTGCTGGGCTTTCAGGCCTTAGGGGTTAGCAGACCCTCAAACCCTGGCTGAGGTCAGAGGCAGAGGACACACGCCTCTTTATTGTTAACAAAAGATCTCTCAAAGAGACCCCATCTCTCTTTGGGCTGTGAAAAACAGCCTTCTGATTGCATATGCTGCAACTTCCTTGCTGCTGAGGAATGGCTCCTTGTCACCCTCGGCAGTCAAAACTGGCTTGGAGCTGGTCCAGTCACCTTTCCATTGGAGGACCGCAGAGTCCCTCGCTCAGTCCACTCAGCCACCACGCAGAGGCTGTGGTACAGCTGGGCCCACACTGACCCACCCAGGCAGAGCTCCATGAATCCACAGGTGCAACCCAGTCACAAACCATATTAAATTCTATCTTTATCAAATCATCTTTAAAATAAACTTCAAGTGTTCCTTCTTCCCAAGAAAGCAAGCCTGGAATTTTCTGGAATAAGAAACTTCTCAGAACCGAGTCAATATTTCTCTTCCTGTTAAAAAAAAAAATTGTCATTGGGATTAAAGTACCAGGAATTACATTTTTCTGCAACAACACTTTGAACTTGACTATATAAATTTACTTCTTTGTGAAGGAGGTGATGGTGTCAGTTAAAAAAATTGGTCATAACTACATAATTGACTCAATAGATTTTTAGATAAACTAGCAAATGGGAAGAGGAAGAGCCTTCTCTCCATTTGTAATGAGTGTAGATTGGACTCTGTCAGCAACAAACATTGAGGGGCAAGTATGTCTTTTTTTTTTTAATCCTCACTGGAGGACATTTTTGCATTTTTTGCATTTATCTGCAGATAGAGCGGGAGGAGGAGAGGAACAGAGAGAGAGAAACCTTGATGTGAGAGAGACACATTGACTGGTTGCCACCCACACGACCCAACCAGGCTGGGGACAAACTGCAATGGAGATTTGTGCCCTGAGCGGGAACCAAACCCAACCGGGACTCTCTGGTCCGTGGGCCGACGCTCTAACTGCAAAGCCAGACCGGCCAGGGTGGGGCAAGTGTGTCTTAAAGGGGATCAGAGAAGGGCAAGGTGGAGGAATAGGAAAGAAGATGTCTGATTCCACTCTCAATCATTTCCAATTTGCATTGTGAATAACTAGGTGCTCGGCCCAACCAAAGAATAATGACATTTGTTTGCTTTTGCGTTATTTTAATGCCCAGCAGAGAAAAATACAGTGCTCTTATAACAGACTTAGAAATAGCATCCTGCCTGGCTTGTTAAAACCACAGCACCTGACACAGCCCCTCCATCTGCCAAGTTTTTAGGCAAAGTCTCACCAGTCCAGTCCAGATGTAATCTCACTCGGGTGGGTTGACAGAATGATGCAAGATGAACAATAAGAAGGAGAATCTGAGTGATAAATCACTATGACTGGGCACCCAAACAGGGATGAGAAATGTCCCCCATTCTCAGCAGGCTCGCTCCCCTGCTTAGGGAGTGAACTAGAGACAGGTTCGCAAACACACACCTACTGATGCGTTCTTGCATGCACCCTTGGAGGACTCGACTTCTGCAGCCTGGCTGCAATGAGTCAGATCTCGAATCTGGTAAAGGTTGCTTCTTCCTTTCATTCCTGAGAGGGAGATGAGGTAGAGATGGGCTCGAGTATATTTTTTAAAATCTTTTGTCTTGCGTCTGTGGGTAACTGCACCGGTACCCTCCTGCCCCCACCTCCACCCTCCCCAGGGTCCCTTCCGGGGGATGAAAGGATCTGGAAGCGGATTTCTTCCCTTCAGCGGAGCCAGCGCCTTCTCGTCCCAATCAGCCGCGCACGGCAGCTGGGGCCAAGCTGCAGCCTCCCTTTGCCCAGATGCCCTGGAGATAGTAATTTTAATTAACCGTGAAAGCTACAGCACTGAGGATTGAATTTTTCAAAATAGAACACACTCCCGCCTTTTGTCTGCTTGGCTTCTGCCACCCACTCCCAACACCCCCCATGGCATTGAAATAAAAAAGAAAGAAAGGAAACGAACAAACAAAAAGGAACGCGGAATCTCACCTACGCGTGCCAGGGACAGAGACTGGCACGGGATGCGGGCGGTCAGGAAGCCGCCGCCGGGGAGCGGACTTTCCCTTGGAGAACCCGCAGCAGCCGCGGCGGGCGGGGCGGGGCGGGGCGGGGCGGGGGGGCGGGGCGGGCGGGGCCGGGGTCACGTGGGCTGGGAGGCCGGCCCACGTCCAAACCCCGGGGGACCCCTCCGAGCGCACTCAGACGCTCCGCGACCATGGAAGCTTTCGCTAAGGCCAAGAGCTGCCTGGCGGCCCGCTTGCTGCAGAATCGAGTGGCTATCGTCACCGGCGGGGGCACGGGGATCGGAAAGGCCATCGCGACGGAGCTCCTGCAGCTGGGTACGTGAGCTGGCCCCTGGGCCGGAGACCCAGAGCCAGGGGTCCATGGAGAAACAGGTTGGCGTAACTTGAGGTGGGGAGCAAGGGGGCACAAACCCCGGTTGGGAAAGTGTGGAGATGCAGAGCAAAGAGGTATATTTACATGCGGCCAAAATTGAAACCGCACTGTTGCCCCAGTTAGCATAAGGAGCCATGTTGAAACATGCTATGGACTTAACCATGGAAAATTAATGTCTTCTGTAGCTTGCCTAATGAGGGGTTAGGAAACAGGAAGACTTCCATTGAACTGGAAAAGGTTGTAACATATTGAGGGGCCACGCAATTTACAGCCAGATACAGGTCACCACCCTAGAGATAACGTCTAGGCCTCAGATGTATTCCAGTTCTAGGCCCAGAAAAGCAGCAAAGCCAGGTGGGCAATGTCAGGACCAGCTGTGAAGAGTAACCACCCCCTGCCCTAGCACTGACCAGTCAGTAGAGCCCAGGACCCTGAAAGAGCACACCTGGAAAACTGATGCATGTTCTGCTGAAAACTACCCTGAGACCTCCCCTAAGATTCCCACCTGCAAGAGAGATATAAAAGGCTCAATACAGAGGACCAAGGTGTGATCTCCCTCTGGGGAGCATGTCTGCCCTATTCCCTTACCCCTTTTCTTCTCCCATTTAAACTCTAAGGGACCCCACCAGACTTGCAACCAGGGAGCAATGGACAACCGGCAGCCGATTCCAGGCTAACCTCTGAATCTGCTACCAAGGCCCCCTTTTCTCCGACTTCTTAGTGAGCTAAAGCAGCCAGCCTAAGCTCTCCTGTTACTTCTATGCTAAGCCCTTTCTTGTTTTACTGTCCTCAGCTTTAATAAATGTATTCTCATAATCACATGGACTCACGTTGTGAATCTTCCCTGGAAGTCAAGAACCCACACTACCGTCTGCCCTAGGCAGACACTCTCAGAGCAAAGTCCCCTGTCCAGTATTGAAGAACTGCAATTAGGCAATAAGTATGTGAGAAAACAACCAACTTTATTTATTTTGCACTTTATTGACAATAAAGTGCAAAATAAAACAATAGTAAGATAGTATTGTTTTTCTAATAAAAATTTGAAACATTGAAGAAAATGGAAGTGTTCATGGAGTAAAAAGGCTAGCAAGAATATAAATTATTGTAAGTTTCCGAGAGGTCAGTTTAAAATAAAAGAATCCATAAGTTTTAACAATATTCATGCGCTATGACCTAGTAATTTTTCTCTCAGGAATTTTCTTTAAGGACAATCAGAGAATATCATAGATTTATGTGCAAGGATGTGGTGAGTAGGGAAACACTGGAAGTAACCTAAATATTCATTATAAGAGAGTTACTTAAATCAATAACAATGAAATGTTATGTCGCTATTTAAACATCTTGCTATTGAAGAGTTGATGTAGACAAATGCATACCTTATAATTAAAAAACAACAAGATTCTAAACAAAATATAACATACCAACTTGGTTGTTAATGAAAAATACAGTATATATGCTGAAAAAGACTGGAAGAAAGTTTACAGCATTGTTAATAGCAACTACATTTTATAGAAATAATTGAATTTTGGAGATTAATCTGTCTTCATTTTTTTTTAAATTTTTTTTTAAAATTTTATTTTTGTTACACGTTTCTCCTTTTTTACCCTATTGACACCCTCCTCCCCATCCCCCCCACTCCATCCCCAGCTTTGTTGTCCGTGTCCATTGGTTATGCATACATGCATATAAGTTCCGTGGTTTATCTCTTCCCTCTCCCCACCATCCCCTCTTCTGAGGATTGTCAGTCTGTACCCTACTTCCATGTTTCTGGGTCTACTCTATTCCTCAGACTGTTATGTTCATTATATTCCATAAATAATTGAGATCATGTGGTATTTGTCTTTTTCTGCTTGGCTTGTTTCACTTAGGATAATACTTTCCCGGTCCCTCCATGTCGTCTCAAAGAATAAGAGATCTTTCTTTCTTACAGCTGCATAGTACTCCATTGTGTATATGTATTACAGTTTTTTTAGCCATTCGTCTACTGATGGGCACTTGGGCTGTTTCCAGATCTTAGCTATTGTAAATAGTGCTGCTATGAACATGGGGGTACATATATTCTTCCTGATTGGTGTTTCAGGCTTCTTAGGGTATATTCCTAGAAGTGGGATCACTGGGTCAAATGGAAGTTCAATTTTTAATTTTCTGAGGTAACATCATATTGTTTTCCATAGTGGCTGCACCAGTCTGCATTCCTACCAGCAGTGCACTAGAGTCCCCTTTTCTCCACACCCTCGCCAACACTTGTTGTTTGATTTGTTGATGGCGGCCATTCTGACAGGTGTGAGGTGACACCTCATACTTGTTTTAATTTGCATCTCTCTGATGATTAGTGATGTTGAGCATTTCTTCATATGTCTCTTGGCCATTTGTATGTCCTGTTTGGAGAAGTGTCTATTCAGCTCCTCTGCCCATTTTTTAATTGAGTTCTTTGTCTTCCTTTTGTTGAGTTGTATGAGTACTTTATATACTTTGGAAATTAACCCCTTATCTGATATATCATTGGCAATGATGTTCTCCCATACAGTGGGTTGCCTTTCCACTTTGATGGTTGTTTCTTTTGCTGTGCTGAAGCTTTTGAATTTGATGTAGTCCCATGTGTTCATTTTTTCCTTTGTTTTTGTTGCCTTAGGTGATATATCAGTGAAAATTCTACTGCGTATGATGTCTGAAATTTTGATTCCTACATTTTCTTCTAGAATTTTTATGGATTCATGGGTCACATTTAAGTCTTTTATCCATTTTGAGTTTATTTTGTGTATGGTGTAAGTTGATGGTCTAGTTTCTGACCCGTCCCGCAGGTCGAGCAACAAGGACTCTAGAGGGGGAGTGAGGATGAGGAGGGACAAGAGACATGAGAAATGGAGACAAGACAGGGCTCTGATCAAGTCTAGTTTATTCAGGGGTAACTCACACAATATATAGGGCAAGAAGCACCTGCTGCCAAGCACCAAGCTTGCCCGAAGTAACAAAATTGACGCCATGCAAAAAGTCTCCCACAGGTACCCCTTTTCTTTAATTTTTTTTTTTAAGGCCGAAATAATACCTTGAGGGGACTGTCTTAGGTCAGGAAACTTGCACACAGTGCCAACCTGTCCGAACCCGTCATTGGAATAGCAAGGCAGCATAAGGCCTTGTTCCTGTCTTAGGTGGTGGTTGGCGATGCGTGTGAGTTTCAGTTGCCCGTCTCTGGCTCTCCAGTCCAGCGCACCAAGGTGATGAGGTTTTTGAGACTCACTATTTGCCAATCTCGGGCAGTCATAGCTTACTGACTCACAGCTAGAGTGAGCTTCTCTGTCGGCCATTTCAAGTCTATGATAGTGGACCTGTATAGGTTGCATCTCAATGGCATCTATCTGTTGCTTGATGAAAGCCATCACCTCATTGAAGAGGAAAGGTCCTAGTGACACAATCAGTAAAAGGCCACGTAAGGGGCCCAACAGAGGGAGAAGATAAGGCAGCACCCCATTTAGCCCGCTCCAAAGGGGGTTATTGAAGAAAAGCTCTTTTAAGCAGCAGCATTCCTGCAAGGCAGTCGCATGGGGGGCCAAATAAGGCCCTCAGGAGCTCGTCAGGGTGTGGAGGAGGCCCCAAACCTCCTTCCACAAGCAGGCAAAGATGCAGAGGTATACCTAGCAGTAAGATTTCAGCCTTCCGGTCCATTCCTGAAATAAAGAAAAAACAGGAAAAGCCTCTCAGGGTGAATTTTCGTTCCTGGAGTTATCTATATGGTTATCTGCTATTCCTTTAACTTGATCAATCTGTTTAACCAGATGCTCTGGTAGCCATCTGGCAGATTTCATTTTCTTAGAGTAAATGCCTACAGAACCTCGGCCCCAGATGAGGACTGGGTCTGGGCCATGCCAAGAGTTGGTTAGCGGATCTTTCCACAACACTGAGGCAAATTGTTTTTGAGTTTCTGTATGCCAAAAGCGATTAGCAGCAGATTGCCCATCAGTGTCCAAATTTAAAAAATTGAGGATAAATAAGGCATGAGAGAGAATATTTCTGGGTGACCCCCTCGTGGGGTACCATTCCCCCTTTTTTATTTTATTAATGGTGATCTTTAAAGACAGATGTGCTCTCTCTACAATCCCTTGGCCTTGAGAGTTGTAAGGTATACCTGTTATGTGTTGAATATTGAGGTGTTTGCAAAATTGGGAGAAGGCTGAACTTGTGTAGCCTGGGCCGTTATTGGTTTTCAATTGCTGTGGGCATCCCAGAACTGTATATGTGGTTAGCATGTGACTGATCACATGTTTTGTGGCTTCACCAGTTTGGAGGGAAGCATAAATGAATCTATATTTAAGCAGTTTTTAACAATTTGCCTAGCTTGTTCCCTACCCATCGTAATGAGATTGGAAACTGATAATATGGCTCAATGACCTTTTTAGGTGTGGCAGGCAAGTGAATCCACATTAAGGGCGCTGTCTGCCAGAAAACAGCGGTTGGGGAGAGAGCAGTCTTACAAATAATAAACTTTAAAGGTTTAGTGTAATCCATAAAGGTGGTTGCTTGAGAATGGATAGCCTGTTCGACTTTGCGTATAGCCTGTTTTCCTTCCAAGGTAAGTTCACGGGGAGATGTAGGGTTGGCATCTCCCTGCAATATATCATACAGGGGTTTAAGTTCTCCTTTACTGATTTTTAAATAGGGCATAAGCCAATTAATGTCCCCTAGCAACTTTTGGAAATCATTTAGGGTTTTAAGCTTGTCTAATTTTAGCTCTAATTTTTGAGAGGTAATTAGGGACCCTCGCATTTGAAAACCAAGGTATGTATAAGGGTCTGCGAGCTGGACCTTGTCAGGGGCTATTTCCAGGCCTTTGTCTCGTAAGGCAATGCACATCATCTCATAGCATTTCAAAACCTCGCTCCCCTCTTTCCCGGCTATGAGGATATCATCCATGTAATGTATAATATACATATTTGGCCAATTGTCT